CGAGCCGGAGGGGGCGGCGGCGCCGCGAGCTTTGGGCTGGCGGGCACTCCAGCTCCTGGGGGCTCAGAAACAAGGGGCCATGGCTCCAGCGCCCCGCGCCCCCGAGCTCCCACCGCGACGGCCGGCGCCCAGCGTGCTGGACAGCGGCCGGGGACGCTGGGCACCGCCGAGGCCCAGGACTCTCCGTCAGTTCCAGGGCTGTAAGCAGCAGAGGGTAGAGCTCGGGGCGGGGCTGGGGGAGGATTTGTTTGGAGTGTGCAATGTAGTGTCAGAGTAAAAGAGGAGGGCAAGAAGGAACAGCTTTTTCATGTAGCGCACATTAAGCTGGCAGCCAGCTTTGTGTAAAATAGTCATTAATATGATTATTGACTGCGTTGCCCCCAAATTGGAGTGCATTTCGTTGTTTGGGGTTGTTTACATACATCTTCACTCATTTCATTCCACTGTAGTGAATGCCTACTACACGCTAGCCATTGTGTGTGTGCCTGTGTGTACTATCCACTTTGAAACTACAGTGTTAGTGCTGCTCCTGCAGTTATTAGGAGTGGGGCTGTGGGATATACCTAGTCTTCGTGTCAGTGATTTATTCCAAGGTCTGCCTTTCCTTATTATCTGTTATTCTCTTTTTGTAGAACACATCAAAACATAAAAGGAATAATTACTATTTGTAAGCCTTGTGTGCAGAGATAACTATATAGGTTTTCTTAGCATGCTAACATTGTTTTCTTTGCACATTTAAATCCTAGGCATCCATTTACTAAGGGCTTTTCTGAACAATTACATTGTTTTTAAACTATCATTTCCATCGATAACCCTCTAAGAATCAGAGGATGATGAAATCTTTCCTCAATTTTTCATGTTTTCCTTGTGTAAAAATGTGTAAAGCATTTTAAGCAGAATATCAATATTTGTATCACTACTTAAATTCAATAATGTGGGGTTGCTTTTTCTCTTTTTAACTTGGGTTATTGCAGATGTTTATCTGTGTAGCAGGAGGCTCTGCCTCACTTAGAGTTATTACACTTTGAGTTATAAATGGTAAAATACTATGTAATCTGTTTCCTTTCCCACCTGTGCTGTCTAGGATGCAATCTTTTGAAGGAGATAGGCTGTATTAAATTTTTCTTTTACTTAGGTAGATTTTTTTTTAAGTTGAGTTACTAGAACAATAAAAAGGGCTGGTTTTCTTATCTTTATTCTTAAAAAAGAATTTCTTCTTTTTAAACATAAAGATAGCTTTGAAGCAGGTTCTACAGCAGGTTCCAATGTACATAGTGCTTGGGGTAAAGTATTTCATAAAATCTTCATCAAGAGTTAAACTTCACAAGAGCAGTGATCTTATCTGCTTTGTGCTTAATCTTTAAAACAAATTCTTTCCAACATAGCATCTTGCCCTCAAGAAATATTTATTAGATGAATAAATTTAGTGGTGGGTACTATTTCTTTTGCTTCTCCATTTTTGTCTTAGGTGGTATTAGATCACTGACTGTTCATTTATACCCTCATCAGAGGCAGTTGGAAAGATGAAAGGGACTTTTATTTCAACTCTATTTGAATTAAATTTTAAATAATGTTTAAGAAATTTTAGTAAGATTACACTGTTGGTGTGGATAGCTAAATGGGCTACCTGTGTTTTCATTATTTTTATTTGTGTAATTATTTTCTATTGTGAAAAGAATGTAAGTCTGATTTTAGTTATAGTTTACACATAGGTTTAATATAGTAGCTAAAATAAGTTTCACTTTTTCAATTTATGTATTTATTCAGGTAATATTTATTAAAGCTGCTCTTCATATAGTTGATGCTGCATATCATCCATATCTAGTAATGGGGTCTATTTGATAGGCTTTGCCTAAATTACTTTTACTTTTTGGGAAAAAATCACTGTAGCCTATGTTTTAAGTAGCCTACTACAAATTCAGCGAAATTAACAAAGCAGTATTTATGCATTTGTGCTAGTTCTCTTTACATTTCAGAATTCCGAAACCCAGGGTACTTCACCCATCTCTTAATAAATACGTTGTTTAGCTTTATATCTCAAAGAAGAGATGACTTAATACTTAGGTTGTGAAGAAGTTGGTGTAGTGGAGAAATAACCAGGTGCTAAGTCAACCTTATCATTTACTAGTATGTCCTTTAAGAAGCCATGCAAGCTTCTTTTCTTTTAGTTTTGTCTTCGTCATTTGTAAACTGATGTTGGACTAGATCATTGGTAACTATCATGATAGCCCTAAAATTAATAATAGCTTTCAATCAAAATGTGTTCATTGTTGGTTTTCAATTTCTCCAAGTATAAAAAGAGTAATATTGGTAGAGATGTGTTTATTGTACCCAGATAAGACATATACATTTTTTTCTTTAAACAAAAATATTCTGAACTGTGCCTTCCATTTTGTGACTTTCTACCGATGTCCTGGAAAAATTAAACAGTTTTCAAAACAAAAACAAAAACAACGCCTACACCACACATCATTCCAGTGTATCTACTGATACTTCACACCAATGCTTTCGTTACTCTTTAAACAACATAGACAGTCTCGATTTAATTTAAAACATTATATAAGCACACAACTCTTCAGGTTTAAAGCTTCAGTTGAGTACTATAGTATTGTAGTTTCCAACTGTGGAATGGGCTTGTTCAGTTAGGTAGGATAGTCTGGAAGAGTGTTGAGTTGATTTTTGGTTCACTGTGTTTATGCACATGTATGTAGTTATTTCATTGACTCCTCCCCCCCGTTGAACATGTATGTATTGTAAACTAAAAACATTTGTATGGTACTTATCTCAGCAATAAGTACACTTTCATTTTCCACAGATTGTGGTGGAAAGAAAATAGGTCATTTGAGAACTCTGAATCTTCCACTCTGTTCTGAAATATTCATACACTTGACTTTGTATCTATGCACCAAGTGGTCTTTTCCTGTACTCCATCATTTAGAACTTTGAAAAATTAAATTGCTAAAGTCATTCAGACTTTCTTTTTAACTTGCATGTTTATCCATAGAAAATCGAGTATTATTACTAAATTTTTCTGCCTTTTTTTAGCTCTATAGTTTACTAAAAGCTTACATATTCTTTTGATTTGAGTTCTGTTGGTACAGAGAATTAAAATATAAATTCTAAATCTATGGATCAACTATCTTATGAGAAAATTCTTTTTTAAAAGAATTATTTAACTTTATTTATTTTAATTTTCCCCAAGGGTGTAGGGGGAGAGAGAGATAGAGAGAGAGAGACTGAGAGCTGCCAGAGCTGGGACTCAAACGATAGTCGGCCACGTGGGAGTCTAGCAACCTTAGTCACACCATGTCAGCTGCCAACCCTGAGAAAATCCCTAAAATATACACAAATATACATTTGAAATACATATGTAGGGTCAGCAGGTGGAGTGGTGGTTAAGGTTCTGGACTCACACATGGCTGACCATGATTCAAGTCCTGGACCTGATGCCTTACTTCTTCACTTTCCCTCTCTCTGTCCCTCTCTGATGAGTGCATATTCCCTATAATAAAATTTAAAAAATAATAAATAAAATTAAATAATTCTTTAAAAAAGTAAAATACATATGCATAAACATTAGAAAATAACATTTGTCAAACTTCTAACCAATAACTTAAGAGAAACTCTTCACACAATGTCATTATTTTTTGCCATAGGGCGGGCGCCACCACGCCCAATGTCATTATTTTTCTATCTTATGAGAAGAAAGGACTAATAAGAAGGATTTAAAGAGATAGGTAATGGTTAAGCTGGGTGGAGACAAAGATAATTTACAATGGAAGTTCTTTTAATAATATGCACATAGTTAGGCTCAGTTTTAGGTAGGCCAAGATATTTAAAATTACATTAACACCTTATTTTCCCCAGTAAAGTCAAGGAATGAGGAGCTGATGTAGTTAATGTTTCAGGTAAGCTTAAAATTCTACCATCAATTCTAGTGCTTTACTCAGTATTTGTTATGGAGTGCAATCTTCTGTATAACTAAAGCTTATAATTTAGGTGCTCAAATTGCAACCACAGTAAATAATAATATTTAAAACAGTTTAGATGAATTGCTTTAACAAAAGATTACATATTTCTCTACCTGCTTTAAAGAGATTCCATGTACAGTGTCATGGACTCCTTATTGAGGACTTTACTCTGGATCTGTCTCTGTTTATATGCCCACTGTGCAGTGTCTATTCTTGGAGACTTCAGGTGCATAGAGTTTTTGCTAAATGTTCCCCAGAAGACTATGTCCTTGGAGTTCTTTGTCTAATTTTGCATTCTGCTATTTGTTTCTACCAAGTTAACTGTTATTTCTTACAACTCTGTTTCTAGCAGTTCTTTTCTTTGCACCATCCTGACTTGCTGATTATAATCGGTTGTGAACTAGGAAAGCTAAACTTGTTATGTGTTTCTTTTTAAAAAAAAGTTCCCAGAGGTCTGAGTTAAGTGAGTGAACTTCAATAGTCTGAACTTCTTAACATTCTGGTCACTGAATAATTGGGGAGGGGGGGGGGTCTGTCCTTCTGCTTAACTTGGTGAGAGAAATGCAGGTATGTGAAATGTTTCTGAATATTATTAGTAATATAATTCTTTAAACAGCTTTAAATTTAGTGATTTACTTTTCTTGTTAGAGTTTGCTTGAGTATGCCTTTTAAGACTATTCACCCTTTTGCTTTAGCAATTATATTTTTACCTAAAACTCTTCTAGAATTTTTTTGCTGTAGGGTGTGTGTGCTCTCCAGAGAGAGAGAGAGAGAGAGAGAGACAGACAGAAAGCGAGAAATCCTCCCCCAACTCCCTGCACCCAGGGGATGGCCATGCCACAGTCCTCTTTCCTCCAGTCTTCTCTCAGGACTTTGGGCACACACGCATGCACACACACTGCGCCTGAGTTCAAGCCTCCAGCAACGTAACCATTATCCTATCTGCTGGTTCTGCCTAAAATTCTTTCAGTCATACTTTACAAA